TTTATATTTTTCTTTAGCTTTTAAATAATTACATACCTAAACTAAATTTTACTTTAAACAAACTTCCTTAGCTTTATAATTTATATGCATATAATGAACCAATAAATTAGATCAATTTTATAATTTTTTATTTTATGTCTAGAAGCCTTACCAGAAATAAAAAACAAAAGACTTTATTGTCCAAATATATATTTTTAAAACATATAATCCTCAAATTTTCTAGCGTTGAAATTTATTTCAAAATGTTTACAAATTATTTACAATTTGCTGAATTTAAACTAAAAAAAATTGTTAAGCTTCAAATATGCTTATTCTTCTCCTAAAATTCTTAGAGTGCTATTAAATTTTACTTAAACAACTCTGCAAGGTGTTCAAGGCGTTAAAACTGAAAACAAATAAAAAACTAAAAATTATTATTATATATTATATTTAAATTTTTAGCAAACGTTGTCGAATTAATTAGAAAAAAAATAAACAATTTAAAATTAAAAATGGGGAAAAAAAATACAAAAAATCATAAGCAAAAGTTAACATGAGTTTTAACAACTGAAACGACGAATTACGTGAACGTAGTTCGGGGCACAGCATTTTAAAGCACAAAACAAAATAAAACAAAATATGAGAAAAGTTTCGTATTTAAAGTTAATAATGTGTTACCTCAGTTGAAATACAGAGAATGTTTTAAGTAGCTATTAGCTAGTTGGTGTGTCTAGTTTTAAATATGTATTAAATAGCCAAATACACATTAAGACACACACACACACATACACACAGCGGTATTTTCCCTTTGTATACCTTACCTAAATCCAGTTGCCTTTAGTCCTCTTAGTTGCAATTCAATTCGCACACTAGACGATAATACGAAAATACCAAGAAAATACCATAGAAAATACCAACTAACTGTAGACCTATGTAAACCCAAAAGCTCATTGAATTTACATCACTCAGGCTGCGACATGGAATTGAAAATTCGACAACCTATTTGCATTAGCATAGGTCTATCGATAAACATCGAAATGTTATCGATTTCCTAAATAAATATCTCATTTTCTATGCTTTGTTAACAAATACCAAATTCTATAAATTAAATTTTAAATTTTTTCTACGAGTGAAAATAGTTTAAATAATAATAGATTTGCTTTTAATTTCTCAAATATACAAACGCGCAAACACTCACACACACGCACACACATATACACCCATACATATACTTACATATATATAAATATATACTATATAATTGTATATGAAATACATAAATGTAAATGTAATCGCAAAAAAAACAAAAACAAAAACAAAGTATTAGTAAAAAGTTTCGACCAGTTAAAAACAAAAACAAAAAAAATTAAATTTATTATTAAAAAAGGCATACACAAATGAAAAAAAAAAAGAATTGAATATAAAACCATGTTTAAACTAAGCATACATTTAGATTTAAAAAAAAAAAAAAACAACAACAACAACAAATTTAATATATTGCAACAATAAACAACATGAAAATAAAAACTGAAATTTAATGAAAATGCAAAAACAATCGTTTGGAATATTTTTGTTTTTTTACTTATTTTTTATTTTCAAAATATTTTGTTGTATTTAATCAAAAAGATAAAACTTAGTTAGCTAAATTTGATT